GATTGGTTGGTCTAAATAAGGTCGACTGTCTTGACAAGAGGTCTGACCAATCGGCTATGCAGGGATTAATATATCATGCATTAACGGTGAAAAAGATTATTTTTTTTATTATTTTGTATATTTATCCAAAAAAAAAAAAGAATAATCTTTTTTTAATGTATTTTCTAACAAAGCAAAATTAAAATGATCATAAAATAAAAATTAACATTCAACCCTAAAATAAACTTCAACTGGTATGGGTGTAAGACTATAAGTGCATTGAAATTATTTTTCGGCTAGCAATAGTTGACCTGATCTTAAAAATACATGTTTAATATGAAGCGTATTTCTAAAAAAATTGATAAAGAGTTTAAGTAAATATTAAATGTGTTTATGTCAAAATATTAATTATTCTAAAGCACAACATTTTTAAAATTACAATTAATATAACAGTCATTTTAAAATTTATAATTATTATATTTTTTTTATAAAAAAACTAAATTACTTTGATGATTTAATTGTTGTAATATGTTAATTAAACCTAAAAAATATAATATAATAATTGTACGAGTTTAATTTTTTAATACTTTTTTTACTATTAAAAGAATAATCACAGTTTATGAGTAGTAACATTTAATTCTTATATATATATTAAAAAGGTAAAATCGATATTTGGTTAGTGGGCATCAAATATCGATTCTCCCAAAAGGTTAAAAACCCTGGTCTGCTTGATTCTAATCCGAAAAGCCTGCACCACGGAATTTTAAGAGAATATATATAGATCATATAAATTATATAAACATGAAATTAATTAAAAAAAGTTTGTAACACTATATGGATGAATGAATAAAAAAATTTAATAAAAAAAAACAAATGATATCATATCATTCATAAAAAAATATTATAGAAAAAAAATAAAAAATTGCAAATATTTATTAAGTACAAGAAAAAATAATTTTTTTTTTAATTTAACAAAAAACTTTAAAGATGGGATCATCAATAATTTTTAAAAATAGTAAATAAAAAATTATTTTTTGGCATATAGAATTAAAAAAATAAAATTAAATTATTTGGAATTGCAAAAATTATATATTTGGCAATATTGAAACAACATTCATTGAATATGTTATAAATTAAGTTTTTTTTTAAAATGTGCCTCATGTGTCAATATGGATGTGTTGAATGCTGCATTACTGCTCATGTGTTTATAATAAAATTTTTGTGCATCATATAACCCATTCTTATTCCTATAAAATCAAAACCCGGCAAAATAACAAAAGGCAATTCAAATCTAGGAAATGAAAGAATGATTTAGCATTTCAATGAATTTCTCTCGCTATCTCTATCTCTCTCTAGGGTATGTAAGCTATGAAATTGGTGTCTTTCGTTGTGAGAGGAAATGTCGCACCACTCTTTTGAGAGAGAGAGAGAGAGATGTTGGAATCTGATGATCTGATATGAGTTTTCAAAGCGTCAGGTGGCATTGTCGGAGCACTATCATCATGTTCCATCCAGATCTGATTGAAGATGCAATCTCACTATCTGAAGTTTGTGGATCTTAATCCCCACCCTATATCTTATTGGCTCTACTTTAATGTCGAATTCATGTCAAAGCTATTGAGCTTTGTCTATGGATTTACTAGATGTTTGTGAGACACTATAGTCGAGTGGAGCAAAGACAGAGAATCAGATCACCTCGGATCACACACTCAAGCACCAAATTTGATATACTAAAACTAAAAAATCTACTTAGTTCTGATTTGCCATTTATGCTCCACTCCACTAGCGTATCTCACAAGCAGAGAATTCTAGTAGAGCCGCAGACAAAGCTCCATTGCTCAGTAAAGAACCAAACAAAAATACAGAGCTTGAAAATTGATTCGATCGCCAAAGACAATGAGAGACGGAGTAGGGGTTAAGATCCACAAACTTCGACTAGTATGACAACGGTTTCCTTCATATTTGGACGATGCATGGTGATGGCACTTCGACAACGCCATTAACCGCTTCAAAAACTCACAGAAGATCATCAGATTCTAATTTTCACATAGCATGGGACCTTTTAGTGTGGGATAAAATGTCTAACAAGTTTGGCAATGTCGTCAACTTTTTGTGCCACCATCTCATCCTCTCTATCTCTCTCGTATAAGTGAGAGAGAGAAGTTAGGGAAAGAAGAAAACATGTGAGGGAGGCTATAAGTTTAAAGATGTAGAGGAGACATCTTGAAGAAGAATTGTTAGTAAATTTTTTTTCATGCAGTCCAAAAAGAGGACCAACCACCACCATTTCTTATAGAGTCTTAACTTTATGGATCATCGGCCTAGCTAGCTAAAATCCGAAAGAGTGCCACTGACTTACAAATCATTGCACAAAAGCATACAATTTTAATTTTTGTAACGGAAAATTATAATTACTATTTCAAGCATGATCATAACATGCTATAAATTTATTGGCAAAATATAACAGTAACATACAAGAAAGACAACATTAGATTTGTAGGAATTAATTAAATATGCAAGGAATTGTTCATCAATAAAATAATATATGTAATTATTTCATCATGTGCAATAAATTAACTAAATGTAAAAGATATAGATAAAGGAGAAGGAGCATGGCTTACAATCAATAAAGTAACTATGAATTTAAGACAAGCAATAAGAATAAAGCTCCTCATAATGAAGGGTATGTTTACCCTATAATAAATAATAATTACTCATTTTGATATAAGCACCAAGCTCCTCATAATTATTTATCCTATGATAATATAATGAAGGGTATGTTTATCATGACTTATAATGAAGGGTTGTACTAGCATCACTAGTAAGTCATACACAGATTAGAATTCCCAAGAGTTAATAATCATACACATAAAAACATTACACCTAATTTATTTATTAAATTAGGTATGCCCAGTTGACTTATAATATATGAACCTAATTAAAGTTCTCTAACCTAGGTCATTATAACAGTCAAATAACTAAAATAAAATTTAATCTAAAAATATGTGCATATAAGTGGCTATAACTAAAATAATAAAATTGCATTAAATGAAGAAAACCATAAAAAATGGGAAAGGGAGAAGCTCACAACACAATCAGTAGAAAAAATGGAGAATTTGGCACTCTGCCTTCGGCTAAAGCTTTGAAAGAAGAGGAGGGGCTTGCTCAAGTGGTAATAACTGGTGTTCAGATGCGTGTCAGATATATATTCACTCTTATGTATGCCAAACATTGCACACTCATTTGTTGTAAAATGTTGGTGCATCATAGTTTTAATATTTATTTATTTGATGAAATAGTTATAGAACCCATAGATACGATACAAAATAGTGAAAAGGGTGTTTGTGCTTTCCTCTACAGAAGAAAACCAAATACCACTTAAAATAATCTATCATTCTTAAGATAATTGTTCCTATTAATTAAAACCCAACAAAAAATCACAAAAGCTACAATAGAAATCTAAGAAATGAAAGAATGGTTTTGTATTTCATGGAACTTTTCTCTCTCTCTCTCTCTCTCTCTCTCTCTTTTTGTCTATGATTCTTTTGGCACGTGCGTAGTTTGCAAAGCAAGGCAGTTGGTAGTAGAACAAAAAATATTTTTCTTTTCCCCAAATCAAGATTTCTAATAAGATTGCATATTAATTTTTAATTGTCAGACTATAAGAGTGCAAAATATCAGCATAGCAATACAAATACACGTTCAAAATAGAATAAACAAAGATACAACACAAATCTAAGAAAGAAAATGAAAGAATTATTCAGCATTTCATCAAACACACAAATCCCACGAAATGATCAATATTCAACAATATCAAACTTCATTCTTCCTCTCTAAGAATCCACCATCATTTCCCTCACAATATCTCAGTTCAAGTGAAACCAGCCGCTCCATCCTCAACTGTCTGTAAAAGTTCTCTATGTAATTCTTAGCTCTCTGGTCATTATCATCTATTGATGAAGCATTAGATGAGTCGCTCGCAACCCTTGATATTGTCCTTCTGAGCGGCTTTGAACCTAAACTCGAATGTCTTGCAGGCAGTGAGGAGGAGAGTGTACTGAAAAGAGGCGGGGCTAAGCCAGTGATTCAAAGATTTATAGAAAACTCCTTGAATAGAAGGACAAGCTTTTTTCTTTTTATATCTTTTTAAGACGTATGGTCTCTCATATTATTCGTGAGTGCGTACAACTCAGTAAAAAATCTTATATCGTAGATATGTCAACTATTGTCGATATGGTTATCATCTTTGATACATAAGTGAAAGGAACAAGTCACTAGTATCGGGCATCATTTTTTATAAGATATTGATGGGCGTTCTTATTAGTCATGATGACTTCTTCGTAGGCATACTAGACTATCCTTTCAAGAAAGATGAGAAAGCTTGGATCAGCATGATGAGCTCTATTCAGCCACTTCTAAAGATTTGGGCTTGATTCAGTCACTTCGGCAAGTAAACTTAATTCAGCCACTTCGATGGGCTGGCTTAATTCGGTCTCTTTGATACTAATAAGAGAAATTTAGCAAAAAATTCAATATATTCATATTTCTGTACACATTCATATATTCCAAAAATGATGATGGGGTGTTGTGGCCGATCGTTCCTTCGAAGACAAGCAATTTCCTATGTAAGCTTTTTGGATAATTGCTAATTTTTCATAGGTATTTGCAGGCTCATTCAACGGAGTTAAAAATGTAATATTTTGACCATCTATTTTTCTTTATCATTTTCAAAAACAATGCGTCCAACTCCTAATTTTATAATTTAATAAGATATCAAAATTGCATTTTATAATTATCTTTTACTTCCAACAAACAAATCTGTAAATACTCGAGCAAAAGCAGCAACAATGCAAAAAAAGTCCCCACAGGAAAGTTCTTGCCTCCAAACAAAGATAATCTCAACACTCCATCATCATTTTTAGACAAAATTAAAAACTTTACTCGCTAATCTCCTTCAAGACGTCTTCTTTTCACCTTTAAACTCATAACCTCCTTCCAACCTCTCCCTCTCTCAATCTCAAATGGCTCCTAGTAATCTCCGCCTCTTAAACCGGCTCAGGAAAGCCATAACAAAGGTGAGATTCCTTCTCTCCTTCAACCTCCGGCAATGGCTCCTCTTCCCAACATCCGCTCCCTCCTCCCATCGCCTTCTCAGCCTTGACAACCAGCCACCCTCACCGGGACTCCTCGACGTCGCCGGCGAGTTCAGCTACTACTTATTTGATCCACTCTCCTCTTCGCCGCCGACAAGACCTTCGAGTTCAGGTTCGAAGCCGCTCAGAAGGACAATATCAAGGGCTGTGAGCGGCTCATCTAATGCTTCATCAATCGATGATATTGACCAGAGGGCTGAGAATTTCATTGAGAACTTTTACAGGCAGTTGAGGATGGAGCGACAAGTTTCACTTGAGCTGAGATATTGTGACGGAAAGGGTGGATTTTTGGAAGAATGAAGTCTGATATTGTTGAATATTGATCATCTTATGGGTTTTGTGTGTTTGATGAAATGCTGAATAATTCTTTCATTTTTTTTTTTTTTTGTTAAGATTTGTGTTGTATCTTCTTTTATTTGTGTATATGGTATGAAGTAAGAAAATAATCTGTCAGATAAGAGTTTTGCCTTGCATGTTTGAAGATAAGTTCGAAGGGGATTTGTGTATTATTATAGGATAAATGTTAGTGGTGATTTGCTCTTTTGTACGCCTATTTGTATTTCTATATTGATATTTTGCACTCTCTTAGCCTGACAATCAATAATTAATATGAGACCTTGTCCAAAAGACCTGTTCGGCTTGTTTGAATTTCGAACTCAAAAAATTTGTTCGTGTTCGACTGGCTGTTCAGCTGGTGTGCTTAGCCAGCCGAACACGAGCAAAGAGTCTTTTTGACAACCTTAAGCATGTAGCCATAAGATGTTAAGGATGGGAGCAACATTTAAAAATTATTATTTATATTAAAACATCATTTGAATCTAATTTAATATTTTTTATTCATTTTTCTTAATTAAAACTTCTAATTGATTATAAATCTTTGTAGTATTGTAGTCAATTATAATATATATTTAAATGACTATAAGACTACAAAGATTTATAATCAATTAAAAGTTTTAATTAAGAAAAATGAATAAAAAATATTAAATTAGATTCAAATAATATTTTAATATACATAATAATTTTTAAATGTTGCCCCCAACCCTTAACATCTTATGGCTATAATTGATGAGTAGTATTTCGAGTCAAAACGAGCCGATCACGAACGAAAAAATCTTTATTTGTTTTCAGCTCATTCACTTAACGAACGAGCCGAACACGAGCTTAACGCTTGATCAGGAAAGAAGAGAAAAAATTTATGTTCTACCACCTACCTTGCTGTCCGAACGACACACGTGCCAGAAAGAATGAGAGTAATTTGATTCAAATAAAATAATCTTATAATAAACCTTCCGACGGCTCTGGAATTCAGATGATGATTAAAAATTCTGTAAAGGTGGGAGTTAATTTTGGTGTTAAGGGTAGGTAGGCTGCGAAGGATGAGTTTAGAGGGGCTTAAAGATAAAATGGTTGGGTCAATGGTCAACGTAAACACCTAGAGCTAAGCTAACCTTCTCAAATATGTGGCCAGAACAGGTCGTTAATTGAAGCAGTATCACGTGCGTGACTTTCTAAATGTACGTAGTATAATTAATTTATTCAATTTATTTGAAATATTTTAAGTAGTTTTGTTATTCATGTATGCATCTAAAATTATTAAACCTATAAAACGAGAAATATTATAAATTAATTTTTTTAAAATAATTAAACTCTTAATTATTTTTTAGTTTTTTTATTCATATTATATCAAATATATTATAAATAATTTTAGTATAAAGAACACTAGAATATTTTAATTTAATTTAATGATACTTATAAAAAAAATGCGCGAAAGATGATTAGTTTAATTGAAAGAGAAAGTCCGGAATTAAACTCTTAATCATTTTTATGTATTTTTAATAACGATTAAAATTATTATAAAGTTGTAAGATAATTTTAACTTATGATCACATAGATGTTTGAAAATAATTTATATATTTTCTTGCATTAAAAGTAATAATATCTATGCTTTGATTAAATGATTTGTTGTAAAATTATGCAATATTAAATTAAAAACTTCTGATTCTAATTACTAGGCATAAGTAATACACTTGAGAAGATGCCGCTCAAATAAAAAATCTGTGGCCAAGTCTTGGAAAATATTGATTATGAAAACTATAAAATTGAATTTATAAAAATAATAATAATAAAATTATATTGTTGTTATGTTAACATAAATTAAATAGTATTAACACTTTATTACTCACACAACTTTTATTTTAATATTATAATGCATTGAATTCAATGTTGTCTGTTTAAAAGACTTCGGATATAAATTGGGCCTCAAATGTATTAAAGAAAGATAGCAATAAATTGGTCCTCAAGTTCCATTATATTAGAAGGTTGTCATGGGGATAAATTTTCAGCGACCTTTGACTTGTCTGTAAATGTGCATTAAAGTATTATTCAATGATATTAATCTGTGTGGAAGAAGCCAACGGAAGTTTATCGAAAACTTTTTAAAAGACTTCGGATAGGAATTGGGCCTCAAGTATAGTAAAGAAAGATAGCTATAAACCCTCAGTGATTCTGGTTGACTGAATCGGGTCACAGAGATAACTTACGCCATTCTTTAGTATTATAGATAGCTCAAGTTGATTCATAAGAACCGAGGGCTGAGCTCATATATATGAAGGAATATTGACCAATTTGTCATGGATAAGTATATGTAGAATATATGTCATAAGACCCAATTAGAATAATTTGATCATCAATGACATCACTGGCAACTTTGAAAGCATCTTCATTTTCAATGTATAGGAGATTCCTTAAGAAAGCTATTTTTTGGAATGAACAACCAGTATCTGCCGCCTATCGAGGTCAAGCGATCCTCTTTGAAAACCACAGTACCAAATTTAGAAATCATTTAGCTAATGAGTTAAATATGTAAGAATATAAGAGATCAAGTACATCAAATGACGAATAATATAATGCCTATTATAATTAATGATCTAATAAAGAGTTAGCATAGCCACAGAGTTCACCAAGCTGTTATATATTTAGTATAATTAATCACTTTTTCAAGATATTTTAGGAGCATCTTTTGTATGTATTACATCAATGGATCCTACTGCAGGAGTAAAATGTAAAAACAATAATAGGGTTGATCTCAATATTAAATAGATGATGAAATAAATATAAAATTATTTAATATATTTTGAATGATATAATAATGAAGCAAAATGATATTTTCAATTATTCCACATTCAATATTTAATTTAGAATATTAGAAAATACAAAAAGCGAGACAAAATGGATAGGGTGCAATAATTTAATTATAGGAAACATAAGAAAAGCCATTTCAAATAAAGGTCTAGTTAAAGTTGGGATGGATGTTCCAACCTGGGTTATAATAATTTGAATATGGGTTATTCTACTTATAATTTATGGCATTCAAAGTTTCTAATGATGCTTGAGAATCTACCATTTTGCCTAATGAATTCATGAGTTTGAATCGTGTCTATTGTCCTTAAAAATATTTTCTGGGAAGTTAATTGTCAATGTTATAAATAAAAGTATTATATATATATA